TATTCAGGCATCAATGAAGGTCACCCGTCAACTTAGAGCAGTGCCTAAAGATTACTCCGTGCGGCTATAAACGACTGTTAAATGGAATGATGAATTGTTGAAGGATTTTGAAAACGGAAAAAATGATAGTCATGCCGGCCCAGCATCCTCAATGTTGAAAATTGCCCCGGCACGAAGTGGTTAACATACTATTACAAACGGAGCAAACTGACTGGAAAGGGATTTGAACCAGCAACCTCCTCAATAAAGTGCAGGTGCTCTACCAATTGAACTGCCAGGCCCTATGTTCACAGTTTCTCCGATCTGTCAATATCTGTGCTCAAGGGGCTCTAGTCAGAGGCAGTAAAACCTGAAACATTGTATCCCTGGGTATCGTTGCCCAAAAACGCGAAGCAACCTGGAGCATGATGAACAGGGATCACTCCGACAAGAGTACAAGTACACGCTACGAACATCTTCTCCCTTTAAAAACCATTTAAGCATACATATATCATATTGCTGTGAATTTTCCTGGGCTGTTTTTTTTTTTTTTTTTTTTCTCGGATCGTCCAGCCCTTCAGTGAGATTAGCAGTTCATGAAATGCCCATGAGACAGTTCCTTTGTTGAGTGATCAGTACAAAACAAATCACCATTTAATCCCCTATAAGCCTCGAGCTGGACCAAAAGAGGGGGCTATTTCCTTAGGGAAGGCGTCCAAAATATTTTTATCGGTGCACTGCGATCTGCTTCCTTGCACCACACAGCACTGCACGGCACCGCACTCCAGCCGCCCGAGACCTGCCGATGCACCGCGCTGGTGGGAAACATGCCCAGCAAGGGTGTTACAGCTGAACGCAGTTCATAAACACGCTGTATAAACTTTCAGCGTGCCGATGTTTTAAGGATTTTTGGTACATCATTTTCATTACAAAAAATTGTGGAAAATCTTGAAAAATCATGGTGTTTGCCATTTAGTGTGATTTTGATGTCTGATTTTCTGAAACCTTGCTTTTTTTCACTCTTAAAACGAGTTATTTTACCGCTGAAGAAAAGTCTTTCTCAATAAATTTGAAAAATTTTTTTTATTAGCTTGTGGAATAAATACATCAAGAATGCAGTGTGCATTACATAAAACAGCCATTAAAAAACCCAGAGACGTCCCCCAGCCAACCGCATCCCAGTCACCGGTGCCCATCGAAGACATCCCCCAGCCAACCGCATCCCAGTCACCGGTGCCCATCGAAGACATCCCCCGCCAACCACTTCCCAGTCACCGGTGCCCATCGAAGACATCCCCCAGCCAACCGCTTCCCAGTCACCGGTGCCCATCGAAAACATCCCCCCGCCAACCGCTTCCCAGTCACCGGTGCCCATAGAAGATGGTCTTTGGCCAGCCGCTTGCACGTCATCACTACCCATCGAAGACGTCCCTTGATCACCCACTGCCCAATCTCACAGTCAAGGCGCCCAGCCTTCGGTCCGGTCTTCCCGCATCAAATCTCTCCTGTTCTCTATCTTAGAGCAAGGCCAGTAGCGTCGGGAAGAATATGAACTCATAAAAAAAGACTTAGCTTTGATAAAGAGCCACTTGGGTTTGATATGCACAAAGCCGAGCCAAAGGTGGTAGCTTTTTCTGACAGCGAAGTGCTGATAGGGTGGGACGGGGCATCTTATCATGACATCCACTCAAAGGTGGCAGGCCCTAAAGAGTTGGTACTGAAGCTATTGTCAAAGTTGTTTACAGAAGAGAAGCTTGCCAGGAGTAATTATCATGGGAGGGGGAGTAGTCTGCAAAGGGGGGATTGTTGTCCATAAGGTTTCTCTGAAGCAAAACGTAGTGTTCCAGGCTGTACTCGCTCAAGCACGACGAGAGTTTCCCCAAGGCGACAGTGGGGGAAGGGTACAGAAAAACCCTCACTGATGTTGTCAATGGCAAATGTTGTAAACTTGCAACCAAACTAGGCATATCAACTAGGGTTTCTTCCCACCTCTAAGACTGTATTTGCATCTCATTGTCTCCTCTCTATAGGTTTCTCAAGGGTTGCCCGGTGTAGTGCCCAAGGCACTTTTGAGAAATCCTTGGTGTCATTGCTAGAAATGACTGATAATAAACATCGGTAAAAAAGCCCTTTTGGATTAAATGTCACAGCAACATGGTATGTTAAAGGATTTTTAGGGGAAAGATCTTCACAGTGGAAAAGTTTCTCATTAAAACAAATTGCTTCTGACCAGCAGTGCCATTTAACAGAAAACGTGAAATGGTAATTTGTATTCGACTACACTACTGCAGAAGAGCATACCAGATATTCCAGGGCGTCGATCAGCTGGACAGCAATGGCCACTTGGTGGCTGGCTCCTATCATCGCCTCCTGGCTGCGGAGGTACTCATCCATGGAGCCGAACGGCGCGTAGGCCATGATCAGGCTGAAGCCTGCCCCAATGCCAATGAACTTGATGATGGACTGGTTGTTCCAGGACGACATGACGTCCACCGACTGGCTGAATTTCTGTGACGGGGGAGAAAAGACGACTATCGAACCAAAAGATTCTCTGAAATAGTTTGGAGTCTTTCGGCCACGAACCAGACTATACCCATACATGTGTGAAGACAGGCAGAAAAAAACCCTGTTCTTTTCCATTTTTAAAAGTAACATGTCAGTTGCAGTATGTTTTAAACTGATCTTGAACCTAAACTAACCCGATTTTGGAATCCATGGAGGTACAGTTTGTCCTCACGTATGGGTAATTCCAGAAATTAGGGGTCCATTTTGTTTCGTGCCCCTGTCACATCTGACATACATGATTTTGTAAGCTCAGAATACATTTTGTAATTTCCAAGAGT